GTCAGTGCGATGAGTGCGGCATGATAACTTTTACATTGTTTTCCCAATGGTAATATTTAAGTCATGTTTTGCAGGATCGAAGAATATCCTTTATTGAATATACCAGCAGCTATATATGCTATTTATTGCTATTTCAATAATTTTTTGTCCAGAATGTAGATGCTTGAGAGCCAAGCGCCAAACGATGGAATTAAACTTTCGTTGACGTTTTGCGTGTGGTCACCCAAACACATTTGTAATAAATTCTCGTAAAATTTTCGTTTGACAGGTCTTCATAAATGGGCAAAATATATATTTGTACTTCAGGATGAACAGGTACAGAGTGCTCAAAATGTGCGCCAGTAGTCTGAGCCTTTTGCCATTTGCATCAACTGTCTACTCCCGGCGAACAGTATTCGTGTTCTTCATCTTGAGCACAAATGGTAATAAGTGACCACTAATACTTTTTTTCATATCCTCAACACTCTCTCTGTTCACATTTCTTTAAATAACTAAGCCATAGTAGGAAGTGAAGTTTTTTTATAAATGCATCAGTCAATTTTCATTTTCCGCCAAGTTTATGCGTTTTCTTAGCATTTCGAAGTCAAGTCCCCATTCTTTTTTCGATATGCTCTACACACTCACTTTTGATTACCTGGAAATTGTCACCGTAAAATTTGGCATTTACAAATAGCGTTGAACGTTTTAGAGTCTCCATCTTCAATATAATTTTTGTACCCCGAATTTCTCGACGGATCTTTGAAACATTTCTGTCATTGCAGTTATTTCCATTTTTCCCGCAGAACCTTTGTGATTTATAGTACAATATTCTTCATGATCTGTATACCATTCTCAATATTCTTGAGTAAAATGTTTATTCTTCCAAAAAGTACAACCTTGACAATAGCTACTTTTAACTATTAAATCACTTTATCAAAATAATACCCTATTAGAGTCGTTACGCCATACAGAGACTCGAAACCGCGCTTTTTCCATGAACCGTCACCAGACATCTTCAAATTACAAATTGATCTTCCTTGTTTTTTATTTTCCTTTTTCTCTGTGTTTATAGCTTTCTTTGTACAAAGGTTAAATACTGTTTTTGTAACAGTGTACATATATTCTATAATGCTGTTGTACGAACTTTCAGCTAATCCGTCGCAAATATCGATGAAATTACAGAATAAATTCTCTTCTCTGTCAAGACCTAAGAGACGCATAAGAAATACGATTCTACGATTCACTTCGTATCCATTAATATCTATCAACGGTCCGAAATGTATATCTCAGCAATCACAGCGGCACAACATCACAAGTTTAAATCCAAGGCCTTGATTTCTAACCTTCTTAAACTTTTTTGTTTACAAAACAAATTATGAGATCTGAGAGAGCCGTGAATATAGTAAAAAATTCAATCAATTTATAAGCGTGCAAAGGATTCCAAACAATATTATCACCGCTGGTGCTACAATTTTCTTGCACTTGCACTTGCTTCAACTGTTTCTCCTTGCTTATTCGTGAATTGATTACCGCAGAAACGCCTTTTACTCAATGGTTTCGATGTTCGGGAATAAGATATTTCTTTGTTTCCTTTAGGATATGACTGCATTTTAAATTATCAAAAACGATTCGTACATACCGAATTCTGAGATTGAACTGATTGCAACTGGTTTGAAACGTTGAAACGCTCGTTTGGAAATATTCTTTCTGTTACGTATAAAGGTTTCGTAAAATTTTCACTCGAAAAGCTACACATATATTCTTGCCGGAATATCTGCTCTAAACGGAATAAGAGTTCAAAGAAAAAGAGGGAATTGCAAAGAATAGGTCTTCCCAGGGTCTACAGGGCTGCCGTCTTGTAACACTGAGGTCAAGGTTGGACATGTATCAAACATAACGTATTATACACGGTTTTTATACCGCATAATACCGTATGTTAAACGTATTATACATAAGAAACTATTCACAGTTCTAAATTGCCCAACCCTGACTGAGGCACAGCTTATAGCGCTACCTGGGACCATAAATTTTTGTATTTTTGTTAAACTTAACGAAAAAGTTCTCCCACCTTTCCCAGGTAACGCAACAAGCAGTGTTCCAGCGTTACAAGATGGCAGCTTGTAGGTCCTGGGTCTCCCTATTTCCTATTCCGAGCATCCGAATATACTTGTAGTAGCACGCTGTAGTGCAGAACGAAGATAAGTCACGTTTACAGGCTTTAACTTTGAAAATACTTGGAATTTTGCTCTAAATTTCCGTCTATAAAATTTTAAGGTGTAAAACTTAAGCTTAAAAGTCGTTGATAGACCACCTTGCGATTTTTCTCAGCTCGTATGTATGTGGTGGAGATATTCATCTCGTCTTTTTACTTGTCGGAAGGAAATCTATCTTGAATTCGATGGACCTGACAAACTGCGATGTATGCATACGCCCCCACACGTTGGAAAGCAGGCTCGAGAAATGATTGAATCGCACCGATCATTCATAACTGCCATATAAACGTACTGAAGAAACGCGCCGATCGCGGGACCGTGTATTATCAGCACTATTTATCGAGTAAAAGCCGAGCTACGATTCGTTATGATAAATCGAGATCCGATAAACGTCGCGTCGCTTTTACATTGCAATAAAATGCACAAACCGTTGCAGCTGTGCAGTTGTGCAATTTGTGACCTTGATGCTATTCGAATTGTAAATGATTGTGCCAAATATTATGCGTTCGTTTTGCAAACGACGAATATCTAGATAGATGGTTGTTTCAGTTTTTTGTATTCTTGAGTGCATAATTATTACTTTGATCACGCTTGGTTTTGTGCGAGAAGAGAGATAATTGCAGAATTGCAAATATTGCGAATATTACTTGTTTATTAATTCTAATACTGTAATAAAGGATAGTTTTGCCAAAATACTTAAAAATTTAGCTAGATACAGATCTAGAAATAATTATATTGAACTATTAAAATAATTATATTAATATATAATATATTAATATATAATATATATATATTATATTAATAATTATATAATTATATTAACTATTAATATTATGTGGGACAATTAATCTAATTTTTAGAATGTTAAAAACTTTTTGCAGCATTGCTCGTCATGCTTGAATTTTCTACATAATTATTTGGATGATCTAACAAAATTATTTTCAGATCTGTATCTAAAAATTTGGAAATACTTTAGTAAAAATTTGGAAATACTTTAGTAAAATAGTTTTTCCATGCACTATTATTTTAATAACGAAATCTAAATATATGAAAATACTATTTTATTTTTTATTCTTTCGCTTTTTCTTTATATGTTGTTTTACTTATATAATTATATTTTTATAAAGGTATAAAAGATAAAAAAAATAAAAGAGATAATTATATAAAGAATAATATAACAACCAGGTAATAGTTTATTATGAAACTAAATAAATACTTTTCTTGACCGTCATGATAATAAATGACGTTTAAAACATCAACACGATAATTAATATTGCTTTTGAGTAATATTGCTTTTAACGTATCGAAGTTTAATAATAGAGATGAAAGTAACTTTTGCCGATAATTTAAAAATAAAGAAGTGCGAAGAATAAAGAGAAAGTTACATTACACAATAAAAACAAATCGCCTTTAAGAATTTTGTCAACGAAAATATCGAAGAATTATAAAGAAATCTCCGCTCACCAAGTCGAGATTCACATTATTCTCCCATTTTCTCAAACAAAACTCGTTTTTCTGACCGCGCAGTTATCCCGTTTAATAATAATTCGGGTCGCGAAATCCATCGTCCGTTTCTTCGTCGACAAATACGCCGTTATAACGTTAACTTGCGCGACCTGAATTATTTTTACCTGTAACACCGCCCGGTCATTGTTCCCTATAGACTTTCGAACATTCCCCTCTCCTCTCTCCGTATGCACAGGCGATCTTATTTATCATTTTTTGCACGTACGAAATCGCTATATGGCAGCGCTGCAGCCATGCATGTTCGATAATTCATTGAAATAAAATTAATAAAAGTGCACGCAAATGCACGATTTCTAACAACAAAGTTATTTAAAATGTTTCGAACATTGTTTTTTATTTTTAAATACTAAATAACGAAAAAATATAAAAATGAAATACAGAGAGAGAGAGAGAGAGAGAGAGAGAGAGAGAGAATCTATTATAAATCCATTCAATAATAATATTTCTTCAAACTTCTTAACATTATAATAATGAATCATGAATTACAGTTTGTTACGGCACAATAAATGTGAGATATTTCAAAAGCAAATAGTAAAACGAAAAAAAAAGGGAAAAGTAGTAAGATGCTAAGAAATTCTTGCCTGATCACGATGAGATTATAAAGTCGCAAAATACTAGTTGCTGTTTAAATTGCGTTCTTGACTGTTTCACCAAGGACTTTCGCTCGAGGAGTTGCCTAAGTTACGCTTAATTAATAGACGGGTAATTAGCTAGCTACTAACGGGGCACTCGATAGATCGACATGCACTGAATGCAGTATTGCGGTATTAGACCGCGTTTGTTCCTCTTCTCATGCCGAGGCTTCCAGGCAAATATTGACACTGGCGATAGAGATGTCACACGTCCTTTGAAGCTACTGACCGTCCGCAAGAGCATACAAAGATCGACGGACTGGCGGGACGAGTTTATTTGCCTCGGTTAATTCCTTTACGCCTCCGGCGATTTAGTAGCAATTAGCATGGCTAGTTATTACGTTATTACTCTCCAAGAGCAAATTGTTAGAATACCATTAACGTTTCGACGTTGACGTCGTGTTTCCGACGCGACGTCGCGATATATGAAATGTTTTCTCCATTTGTAAGATAATTTTATTATCTGTTACGTGGACCATTAAAAATATGCAAATATTTCCGCATATTTAATGCTTATATTTATATTAAATTCGATGGAAATTTACGTACGCGATTATAGCGATAATGATGTAAATATGAATGTATCATGAAATTTAATATTTAATTTGTTTTGCAACAACACCGTCTAATTTTATACTTTCTGTTTCAGGCTGAAGAAATCAATTATATCGTAGTCATGAACCTCGCGCTGCATGGATTTTTGCTGCAAAGTAAGTTTCTTCATATTTCTACCATTTTTATGGCGACAAGCAAATTTATAATAGATAATAATTTATAGATATTGGAATTAAATTATAATGAGTCTCCTATTTCAAATTGGAAAAATGTAAATATATGTATAAAGCACAAGCTTTATTTATTATTAAATTTATTATACTATTTAATATACTATTATTTAAATAGGTATAGATAATATATTATCTAAGTAACATATGAAAGAGATAATATATATGTTAATTAAATTACATAATCTTCTTATTATATATACGAGTGAAAATAAGAAATGTGGATGGGATTCAAAATCTCCATAGAATATTTCGTTAAATTTTTTCAAATATCACTGAGATGTAATTATGCGATGAGCGATAATAATTTGACTTAAGAAAAGAAATTAAATCAAATCATCTCTAATTACTTTTTAATTCGCGGAGAAATGCGATTCTTCCCAGTTGCGTGAGTCATCTCGTTTTTATGTGGGCGACACTTTTTTCACGATTATTCTCTGCGGCAGAACGCATAAAACTTGGCGTCTTACGATAGTGATCAATCTTCCTCGTTGTTTTTGAGAATTAAGGGGATGCTGAAGTAAGCAAATTATCGACATTATAATTATCGACAAAATCCTTTTACATTAAAGTTGACAAAATTAAGAGGTGATGCAGTGGACATTATACTAAAATTGAAAAAAAGTTAAAAAGTTTTAATTTTCTTTTGATTTCAATATAAAGTCCACTGCACCACCTCCTAATTTAGCGTCAACTTTAATCCTGTAAAAGGATTTTTGATTCCGTTCAGTCAATTCGAAGATTTTTTATACGACTGTAATGTCGATAATTTGATCATTCCAGCATCCCCTTAAGTAAGTACAGTTAAGTTGAGTACAATCTGACTTGCGTGAGCGCGATCTCGAGGATGTCCTCGAAAGACGCCCGGATCAGCTTGCCCGCTAACTAGGTTTTAGTGCCGAGACCAAGGTGTTTCCTACGTAGATGTAAACACGCGCGTGGCGATCGAATACGATTCAAGAATCGCAAATGAATCGCGCGAGCGAACGAGCTAACAGCGTGGCACGTTGCAAGAATCGCGAATGAATCGCCTCACGCAATCAGCATTAGAGATTGAAAAAGACACGGATAAACGTATAATAAATTTAATACTTTAATAAATAGTTACCGATATGTGTACGTGTATAGCAGGAAATAAATAAATATGTAAATATATAAAGATAGAATGTATAAAATGTACATTATTTAATTTAAAAGCTTTAAATTATATAACGAGGTATATCTTTTCTAGTCAACGAATAAGTTATCTATTACGTTAGTCATTAACGTATCTCTGAAATTGCTTCTCTTATGTTCAAGTTTTTATTGCATTTTTATCGCAGAGGCATTAAATATGAAAAGCCTGTAGACATTATTATTAATATTATTAGATATATAGAAAGAATGATTTTGCTGAAGTATTTAAAAATTTAGATAGCTACAGATCTAAAAACAATTTTGTTGGATTATCAAAAGAATTACGAGGAATCTCAAATATTATGAGTAATGCTACAAAAAATTTTGATGTTCTAACAATCAGCTTGAACGTAATCAGCATTCTACGTAATTATTTGAATTTTTATTAGTCCAACAAAATTATAATATTTTCAGATTTGTAATTAAACTTTAAAGTCTCGTCTACAATAGTCGCAAGGATTGTTTGCACGCAATTTGACAACAAATTCTACACGTCAACTTGCTATGCTGTGATTGGCTGAGCTCATGCGATACGCTTGTCGCAATTGCAGAAAGTTAAAGTTGACTCAACTCCGTATGACAAAAGCTCTTGAGAACATACGACATGCGACATAGACTGTGCGATTGTAGACAAGGCTTTAGATACTTCAGCAAAACTGTTCTTTCCATGTATAAAATCTCGAGGATAAAAAAATATTTATTTATTCTATGATATAAATTTAGAATATATATGAATCAAACATATATAATTAATAAATTAATTAAAAAAGAAATTAATGTGCAAGCTGAAGAGGGTATTTATTTTTTCATTCAAAGAAATTTGAGCGTGCAACTTAAGAGATATCCAAATCTCAAAATCTATGATGTTATTAGTTGAAGTATATAAAAATTCAGTTATATATATTCACGTCTGCGTAATATAGGACACCGCTTTATGGTGGTATCTGAAGGATGAAATAATTTCTAAAGTCCGAGCGTGTAAAGTCGCCGTAATGACGTAAATCACGTTAGCGCGAAAGATCATGGTCCGTAAAGTATAAATTAGTAAAAAAACGAAAGATGTCAACACCGGTGATAATGTCGGCGCCGGATGGAATAGGGAATTGAAGAATGAAAGGATGATACGGGCATTCTGTGCAAATCGTACGTAAGCGTCTCGTCAGACCACCAGCTGCGTTCACAAAGTATAAAATGTAAATCTCGAGTTCTCTCAAGGCGCACATTTGCAGGATAGCCAGATGATGAGCGCCTTACACACGGTTGCAACGAACATTTCGTAAGCGATTGATAGGATTCAAGAAAGCGCAGGAACAAAGCGTGTTTTGAATTTGCGATAATTTGCGCAATTCCTTAGCGATTTATTGTGTTAGGCTTTTATGTATAATACATTCTTACGTATTGTTACGTATTGTTAAAAATTGGAGGCACACGTTGAAACCTTGCGTAATTAAAAAAGACAGTACCATTAAAAGAACATAAATAAGAAAAAAAAAATAGTACCACGAAATCAGATTTTCTTTGTGAGAATATATACCTATATTATGTGACATAAATGTATAAATGATTTGGAAATTCATTTACATGAAGAGCATAATGTGTACCTATATATACATATATATATATGTATATATGAGGTATGAGATATGTACATGAAGTAATAATGAATGTAGTGATTGGAATGAAGGTCATTCTTAATTTACGATACTTTTCTTTAAAAAGATTTCTTGTATATACAGGGTGAATCAGAGTCGTTGAACCAACTTTTTATCCTATGAAGAAAATTATCTTTATACCTAATTGGATTGCTAATATATCGGGAAAAATACATTCTATATAGGAAAAGTAAAAGTAATACCTTCTATTAATAACTCGAAAAACATCTTTTCTGTTTAGAAATTAGTACCTATTTAGAAGAATTTTTTGCTAATAAATTACGTGATACACGCTTAAGAATGTTTTACTAGGCATTATTTTAAATTTCTTATTGTTACTTTCGTACAGAAATGAAATGACTATTAAGGAAGATTTTTCTTTCTACGCTTGACATAAAAATTCTTTTGCGTAATTTGTTAACCATAATGTCTACCGCGAGGAAGATTCTTATCAATTCCTGCCGCGTTCTTCGTTAAATTTATCACCGAGGCGTCAGACGTGGCCGCTTAGCTCGCGAGCTGTAATCAGATTGCATGCACGACGGTTCCTTGAAGCTAGACAAATAAAAGGTGCAATCAAACGCCCACGCTTCGCGCTAGATATGGGACGCAAATATGGGAGCTGTAATAATCGAGGCCCAGACTGCGCCTGGATGACGCACCGGGCGGGTCTATTTATCTGTGGAATCTATACGTTCCGCATAAAAAACAACGTCTATTGAAACCCGGCGACGACGGACGGAATGCGGCCTCGTGGGATATCCACGCGACGAACGTATGTATGCATCGCGGTCGCGACACGTGGGACGCCCAAGCATCATCACTCGTTTGCGCGTTTTATCGCGGCCCACCCGCGGGATACCTTTATCCTCGACGTTTTACGAGCTTCCGTTCATTAAGGACGTTTCCAGGTACACGCCGACATACAAATTTGTCGATAAATCAATTTTGATAAATTTTGAAATAACTAGCCGATAAAAAGGATAAAGAGCAGTGCTTCCTTTGCGAGAGGGCCATTTGTTCTTTTTGTTCCGGAAACCTATTCCATTGCATTCGTCCAGCTAAGCTACAAATTAATTGCTATTAATATTTCATTGATAAAAATTGCTTTTTTTCTCTCTGAAGTGTCAAAGTATTACCAAAAAATCACTTTTCTCCTTAAAATACTATAGTATATACCCAGAAGATTTTTTCTTGCTAAACACAATACCGTCGAAATTGATGGAGCATGTCGGAATTTTTAGTAAATTGGGATGAAATGAGCCAAAAACAATTTATTAAAATCCAAATCCACGAGAATTTACGTAGGGTTTTAATAAATTGAGGTGGATTTGAATTTTAATAAATTGAGATGGTCTTTAGCTCATTTTATCCCAATTTACTAAAAATTCTTATGTGTTCCATCAATTCTGACGAGCATTGTGTTTAGCAAGAAAAAATCTTTTAGGTATACATAATAATATTTTAAAGAGAAAAGTTATTTTTTTATTGAACAGCATCATTATAATAAAAAATCTAAAATTTAAATAGCCATAACTTGATAAAAAATAAATCATACAATCATGAATTAAAATTCAAAGCTCTTGAATTGTACTTTTAGATGCCGTAAACGTTTTTAAAAACAAGTTTTTGTTTTCCTGTAAAAAGATTAAAAATGGCCAAAAACGTTATTTGTTCTCAATTTACTCAAAATTCTGATGCGCTACGTAAATTCTGCCAATGTTGCATGTTCAGCATGAAAAAAAATCTTCGAAGTTTATTAATACTGCAATTTGGCACTTTAGAAAGAATTTGAGTGTTGAATACTGTAACAGAAAATTAATCTCTTTAAATTTAGGCAAAGGGATTCTATTCGTTCACACTTTCTCCCGCGTACGGCGCGGTTCGCCGTAACTCGATTCCATTACGCGAGATTCGCAGAATAGCAAGCTAAGCACGTCATTATGTAGCCGTGACTTTCATTCGAAGTCTGTTTCTGCCTTAATTAACACGTACGCGCGCTGCACCGCTTGATCTCGCGTTTCCGCATGTCTTCCGGCACTTCTGCGCTCGCCACGTGAATCTCAAGCTTACGACTGATCCAAGATGAGATTTCTA